AGTAGCGATGCACTTGTTCCTAGTAGCTTCTTGTTACTACTAGTAAGTTGGGTAGCCCTTGGTATGCTTAGGCATACGGGCTTAACAGGTGTTTAGAGGTAGGGGTTTAGTCAGGGTAGTCGCGGGCATCCAGCAGATCAGAAGGTGGGCTAAACAGCCATGAAAATCAACCCAAGATGGGTTTCAATGACCTGTCGAAAGGCTCAGAAGCGGGGTTTAGCCACGCAAACTTCCAGCCAAGCAAGGGTTTACAATTCCCTTTTTTGATCCGAATAATGGGCTGTGGCCACCTTGTCAACAGCACAGGCCTGAAAAAACAACTGAAATCAAGAAATGACCAAAACTGCGCCAAACTGAATAGGTGGTAGGGAATAGGCCTGGGACTCAAGAAAGACCCTGTGAAGTCATGGTTAGAACAAAGCGAAATACGTCAGGAACATTGTTGAAACAAAGTAGGTCGGGAATGGGTCGGAAATAGGTCGGGGCCCCAAGAAAGACCCTGCGAAGTCATGGTTGGAACAAAGCCGGAATAGGTCGGGGATAGGTCGGAAATAGGTCGGAATAGGTCGGGGCCCGAAGAAAGACCCTGTGAAGTCATGCATGGAACACAGCAGGATTAGGTCGGGAATGGGTCGGAAATAGGTCGGAATAGGTCGGGGCCCTAAGACCCTGCGAAGTCATGGTTGGAACAGGCAGGAATAGGTCGGGAATAGGTCGGAAATTGATCGGGAACCCAACTACAGCGGGATATAAGCATACTGGCCAGAGCTAATGACAATTAACATCATCACGGTATGCTTAGGACCAATGTAGTATAGGGTTCCCGACCTATTCCGACCTATTCCCGACCTATTTCTGCTTTGTTCCAACCATGACTTCACATGCTACTTCCCTGAGGAGCAAAATGCATCCTGTCAGCGTCAGCCCAGGCACAATGCTGTGTTCCGACCAACGCATCGTTTCAACCACACGGAATGTCAGCACGACATCAATGCTTTACGAACAACAAATTAATAAGGCGGTGCATCTTGGAGCCCACGAACCCCACTCAACAAGCTTGACTTCACATGATCAAACCTGCTGATGCGATAAAAGGCTTGGTTGCCCCGCGCGCGCAAAAGATTTTTTTGATTCATTTATCCGACCCGTGGCAATCAAAAGATCGCCCCTTTGAGCTAGCAATTGTGTATGTTTGCGCCGCCCGACCCTAGTGAAGCATCAATCTATATAGAAGCAACACAATCACTTCAGCGAGCCGCTTTTGACACAAGTGACCCCCGTATCACGCAAACATTTTGTGCGTTTAGCCCCTGCAAAACATCGGCTCCAGCAAGTGACAATACACACATGTGACCTGGCATTGATGTGTTTTTATGCTGCCTGACCCTGGCGAAGTGCAATCTCGGAACCAACAAATCCCATTCAGCAAGCCTAATTACAGTCAAATATCTCCAACTTCCTTGCGACGCACCCTGCAACACCCTAGCGGGCCAACTGCGTAAGCATACCCGAAGTAGCTAAGGCTATTTTCGGCTATACAGTGCCTAAGCATACCAAGGGTTACCCAACTAGTAAGGCACTTGTTACTAGTAGCGATGCACTTGTTCCTAGTAGCTTCTTGTTCTGAAGAAAGAAAAACACCTACTTTAGGAGTGTACCTCAACCGAGCCTCAAACTTTCAACGAAATTGTCCGAGACACAGCAGTTGGTAAGCAAAACTGGATGTCAAATTTGGGGTTCCGCACCCTCATCATCGCCAGCTTTCGGCCTGTCCGGTTTGTGTCAAAACAAGAATGGCTTGCGTTGGAAGTCTTCCCGTCCTCAGCTACTGCGCAGCCTTTGTGCGCAAAAGGCTGCGAGCTTGAGCCGAATCAAAGCCAAGGCGAGGAAAGTATGTGCATGCGCTGCATGTACATGCTAGCTAGCTCAGTCAATCTAAGGAATATTCTGGGTTTCCCTTCACGTCTTAGAACATCACCTCCGGCATTTAGTGGACGGTTATATAACTGTCCACGGTTTAGCTGATCTGATCAAGGTCGCATCTTGAAGCACAGATTTACAGATTCGACAAATGCACATGAAGCACATCTTGAAGATTGCCAAGCAATAGCTCAGCATGTTCCCTAGGTTCAAGGAATTTAGATATTCGCTTCAATGAAAACCGTCTCTTTTGACTGCGGCTTCAGCAATCAAGGGTTTGCATCAGCTCCCAGGTGGAGAGATGAGCTGAAAAGTCTGCCCATTCCAGCTTTTGAAGCTTGATGAAGGCTCTCATGAAGTCCTCAGAAACCAAGAAAAGTGAAGAAAACCGTTCGCATGTTTAAACATGTTTAAACTCATTGTGTCGGTTTCTCTTCTGTGTTTGAAGTCAAGGGCCTCCTGATGGAGGTTTCCGGTACGGAGGTGCACGTCATTTGTGTTTCTTCGAGGATAGCTTCTCGAAGACATTTGCGGATGTTTCTGTTGTTTGTTTCACTTTTGGACTTATCCATGTCCCATGGCAAGCCGATGAAGGTGTGGCCTTACACTGAAGTGACTGAGTAGCATCTCCATGCAGAAGTTTGCCATCCCAAAGCATCATCCAAGAGCTTCAAAGTTTTGGTGCCAAAAGAGAATCCATGCTGAGATGTCTTGTTTTGGAGGATGGAGGCCATCGCTAGTAGGTTCTTTGCAGAGTCGTTTGGTCTTTCGCAGTCTTTCGAGCTCTTGGCCGTATTCGGTTCAGATGGTTGCTCAGACAGCGTTTGATGCGTTTGACACACTGAGCTGTTTGCAGTTTTATCACTGTTAATCATTCTGATTTTGATTCGATGTTTTTCATCTTTCTTTTCTTTCTGCCAAGCATCTGCACCTAGCAGAGCTGATAAGTCTTTGTCACTTTCCAATGCTCGCGTGGCATCGATAAGGTTCCTGCACCAAACAAACAGAGTCAAGCCGATAGAACACCCCGTCCAGCCGTCCGGTGAGATGGAGCATATTGCGGCATTGTCTTGGGTTGGAGGCCATCACTCTTAGGTTGGAGGCCATTCCTAGTAGTTTGGAGGCCATTTAGTGATATTGGCAATCCATGTGGACAACATATCACGACAAATGTTCTGCTGTTGCCCGCGTTGCCTCGGCAACGAGGCAATACCTTCCAACTTGGGCGAGCCATCAGGAATCTCCTAGGGGAAGATAAATGTATCAAAGTCACCCACAATAAAGTAGAAAGGACAACACATGTGCTCTGCTTTGCATGTTAGTGTGTTTTTGAACCCAATAGAAGCTTGGGTCAGAGGCTGTGAACCAATCTCATCTAAACCAACAAGTGGGGATGTGTCACCATAAGCGTTGAGAGATTTGTCTCAGAAAGTCAAGGTGCAGGGCATTAAGTTTGCGACCAAGAGTAATATGGGAATACAAAGCATCAAGTATGCCGTGCATGAGAAAAATGCTCAGGAATGATTTCTTCGTGCAAGAATTAGATCTTATCAAACTTGTTACTAGCAGTAATGCCCTTGTTACTAGTAGCTTCTTGTTACTAGTAGGGATGCACTTGTTACTAGTAGCGATGCACCTTGTTGCTAGAGACGAAGTGTAACTGCAAGGCGTCTGCACAACCCAACCCAGCAAAGCGTCGTACATATTCACATTGGCGGGGAATGAGCACTTTGCTGGATCAGCCTTCGTATCAATCCCCCAAAATCCACAGGCCATCATCAAGGCAGGCAACAAATATGGGTTCACCTTGGCGCAATCGAAAATGCTCAACACCTCGAACAAGAGACCGACTAATTGTAAGACTCTGAACAGACCGACGAATACGATGAGAGGTTTTGAGATACTTCGAGGTCTTTTGGTCACAAGGCCCGGCTTGCCCCTTTGGTCTGTGGTCCTTGCAGAAACCTTTTTCCGACGGGTAGAGTAATAGGTAGTCACAACCGGTAGACTGAATTCGCCTGAATTAGCCTGGTAGCTTGCCAGCCATAAAATGTTGAGATCTTGGAGTACACTCTTGAGTAATGTGTGGCAGTTTGCTTTTCGTGGACCATGTGGACCCCAAGTAGTTCCAGGACCTCAACCACATTGCGAAACTGGGAGACACAACCACAGTGGACAGTACATGACCAGAGTGAGTCTCCAGGCTTCCAGAGATTGAGCAGAGCAAAGCTTGATGATGCCAATGTGCTTCGGAAGGACTGGTTTAGTTTAGGTACAGCGGAAACTGCCAAGATCTGCTAAGGATAGCTCATGGTTCTCAACGGAAAACCTTGGCTGAATGGTACTCTGCTTGTGAGCTTAGCATGTTGTTGTGTGGTAGGAGCCCCTAGTAGCATCCTTGCTCCTAGTAGTAAGGCCAGGAGCCCCTGGAAAGGCGGGGAGATCACTTGCGCATCGGAGGATCACTTACGCATCGAAAAAGTGGATCACTTGCGCATTGATGGCAATAATGGTAAGGTCTAATGGAATGATTGACCCATGTCCACATCATCACATCCGACATTCGTGCACAACCGACACACACAGAGTTCGCCCACCAAGTGGGACAGCCTGTTTGTCCAAATAGCTTTAAACTTGTGTTTAGTACAGGCCTCTGTTTCAAGGAACATCTTTGAACAGCTAAGTTTCCCAAAAAGAATCTAGGAGTCAAGTCATTAATGCTCGGGCGGAGTTTGGTAGCTTACTCCTTAGTGGCCGCACATTGCATGTTGCGCTCAACGAAAAACCGATCCAAAACCCGACGCACAAGCGAACCCCCGCCCTAGTAGCGTCCTTGTTCCTAGTAGCGATGTCAGGAGCCCCTAGGCAACTTGCTGGCCAAAAGTGAAAGGAAGGAAGAAAGCAAGGAGCGCTAGAAAGCTTTACGGTTACTAGTAATTAGCGATGGCCTCCAACCTAATAGCGACGGCCTCCACCTAGTAGCTTCTAGGTAATTACTATAGAAGGAAGAAAGCAAGATCAAGAAGTTTGCATCCTTTTCCCTTTGTGCTCAAGGGGGCCACGCTGTTCGAAGGCTTGTGGCAATGGCCAGACGCAAGCTGCAAGACCGCGGTACGATTTGATGCAGTGCGCTTCCCGTTTGTACAGCTGGGGTGGCGTTGAGCTTGCTCGTAAGATGGGGAACCCATCAAAGCCTAGGAGCAAGGACGCTACTAGGAACCCACTCTTTGGCAGTCTGCATGGGCCTATGGGTCAAACGGGTCAAAGTCCAAGAACCTGCGATAAGGCTTTGATGGGTTCCTAGTAGCATCCTTGTTCCTAGTAGCGATGCCAGGAGCCCCTAGTAGCGTCCTTGCTCCTAGTAGTAAGGCCAGGAGCCCCTAGTAGCTTCTTGTTCCTAGGCTTTGATGGGTTCCTTGGCTTTTCAGGGCTTGGCTGTTCAACCAGCAGGCACATACCTCCATGCCACATGCCAGTCAAACTCGTAATTCCTTGGGCGGTTAGGCGACCCACTCCGCTGGTCGACGTGCTAATCTTTCCTTCCCCCCTTTCCTTCATCCTTGCTTAGAAGTTCTAGAAGCTACAGGTGGAGGCCGTCGCTATTAGGTTGGAGGTCATCGCGACTAGAAACAATAAAGCTTTCTAGTACTCCTTGCTTTCTTGCTTTCTTCCTTGCCTTTCTTTGTGAGCAGTTTCGAGACCTTCTGAGGTGAAAAAAAACCTGTAACAACTTGGCCACCCACCGCTCCATCCGCCAATCGGAGCTCAAAACGATCATTGTCCGGAACCCGGACCATGTGACTGCCAGTCGTATCAAAAACGCCAAAGATCGCTAGCAAAGCTTATATGATGCTAAATATGTGCCACTTCCAGGAAACATTTCTGAACTGCCTTTGCTTCTTCCTCATTGGTTGCTTTCTGCTTTGCTTCCCAAAAACATCAAGTTTGCTCTGCTTTGTCGCGCCTCCGATTGTTGCCGCTCCACGACACACCTGTAGACATTCTGACAACTCAAATGGCTCAAACGGCCTCCAACCTAATAGCAATGGCCTCCAATTCCAACTTAATAGCGATGACTCAAATGACCTCACATGGCCTTCCTAGTCTTTGCCTGAAGATTGGAAGGGACTGCTAAGCGAAAAGTGCTTTCAGTGATCTGATAGTCTGTGGACTGAGTTCAATTAAGGTGTCTGATCGCTTAGAACTTGTGACAAACGGCATGTTCCTGCACAATTGAACTCTAGCATGTGATTCGCAGTAGCATCCCCTTTCTATTGCTTAATTTTAATTCATGAGGTGCTTAATTTGGATTGTCAAGTGTCGGTTCGGAGACCAGGTGTAACCAGAAGCGGTGGCGGCACCATTTAGCCTGAACAAGATGTGACAACATTGCAGTAAGAAAGTCGTCCAGTGTGATGCTATGTCATATGTCTATCTCTCTCTCTCTCTCTATCTACTCATTGGTGCCACGGGGCCGCTTGTAGGAGTTCACCGTTGGGTTAGTAACCGCACAGAAGCTTGGAGCTTTCGCCAGGACTCCGCCCAAGAACTGCAAAGCCAAGTCCGAAATGCTCTCCTTGCCCTCGCAGAGGGTTTCACTCCATTCATTGGCAAAACATGTCAAGAAAGACTTCCAATAGGGAAACAAATGATGACAGAATAAATACGACAGCCTCATGATTGTGAACCAATAGATGGATGTTGGCAAGACGGTTCCATGCTTGGTTTTCAGGGCCATTCCAAGTCATTGATTCCTTGATCGGTCCTCGAAGACATTCTTCTCCCCCGACCAGAGGGAGCAATGGATGTGGCCTTAGAATCAGATCGCACGGACGCTCTGCGTTCAGATCTTGGTCGCAGTTGATGTAGTAGCGTCCTTGTTTCTAGTAGCTTCTTGTTGCTACTAGTAAGGCACTTGTTACTAGAAGCGATGCACTTGTTTCTAGTAGCTTCTTGTTACTAGTAGTAAGGCACTTGTTACTAGTAAGATGCTCTGTAGTCAGTCAGGTTCATCTTGGTCATGCGATGTTCGCGCAACTAGGTGCCACACATCCATTCCCACTGAGATTGCTGAAGGGTCTGGGCATGAAGGTTGCCTCTGTTGCCGGAGACATCCGAAAAGCATTCAGAGGATACCTTTTGCTTGATATCCTTCTTTTCTTGTTCTACTAGGAGCAATGTTCGCTACCAGGAACAAGTGCATCGCTTCTAGTAACAAGTGCCGTAATACTAGGAGCAATGTTCGCTACTAGGAACAAGTGCATCGCTTCTAGTAACAAGTGCCTTAATACTAGGAGCAATGTTCGCTACTAGGAACAAGTGCATCGCTTCTGGTAACAAGTGCCTTACTACTAGGAGCAATGTTCGCTACTAGGAACAAGTGCATCTGTTCTTCCTTTCCTTGTTAATTATTGTTTCTACTAGCTTCTTGTTACTAGTAGCGATGCACATGTTGCTACTAGCGATGCACTTGTTACTACTAGTAAGGCACTTGTTACTAGTAGCGATGCACCTGTTACTACTAGCGATGCACCTGTTACTACTAGCGATGCACCTCTTACTACTAGCGATGCACCTGTTACTACTAGCGATGCACCTGTTACTACCTCCAAAACCACAGACCAAAGTATTCCTTTTACAAAATGAGCCTTGCACTCACCGCCATGTTCTCTACGCGATGCAGTGAGATTCCTGCATAATCTCTACGCAATCTGTTTTACACTCTGGAATCCTCAAAACCAACGAAAGAAGACCCTGAGCCAACTGAGCTACAGGTATCCCAAGTACCCCAGGTATCCTTAGGCTTGCCTTTTGCAATTGGTGGAATTCAAATGAGGATACAGGTGCTTGAAACTCTGAAGAAAACAACTTCACGGGCGCAAAGTTGACAAAACAACTATTTGAGGCCAAGGCACACGGAAGCCGTGGCGCTCAGCCAAGGTCTTGACTGCCCATTTGAAGAAGACGTGTTGATCTGCGGTTGTAAGACAATCCTACGCAAGAAGCAGTTGGGGTTCATTCGCGGAAGGCACAAAAAACATTTTAGAACATATAGTAAGCAAACCATGGTAGATCAGTCGGTCCCGGTAGTGCCAGTTGATCTCAAATTGACCGTTGGCATCTTCATGATCTGTTTGATACACCCCGAAGTCGCAGGCATTCAAGGTCTTCACCTCAGGCCAAAGCGAAGTGAAGATGAATCTGGAGATGATGAGAGGATTTTGCTATTAGGTTGGAGGCCATCGCTCTTAGGGTGGAGGCCACCTTAAAGTATTTTTTCTATAAGGGTATGTGAGTCAATATTATGTTTATATTCTTTTCAGTTGAAGGCAATCGATGTGAGAGGATTTCTCCGAGGAGCGATGTCTGCTAACAGTGCGTATCTTCGCATCATCGATTGAGCATCATCTCGGCGAAAACGAGACATACAATTCCATGTTGCTCAAACCTGTGGCCATGGAGCCAAGGTGCAACACGGCTTGCTTTGGATGTCCCGCTCATCAGAAATGCTATCATTCTGCGCAGATAGAATGAAGAATTCTGCCTGCAGGATGCAAGACTCGACTTAAATCTCTATATACTTAAACTTTCTTCAGGTTGGCTCAGCTTGACACTGCAAGAACACTGCGGCTTAATCATCCAACTACTGGAAAGAAAAAAGGAACGAATTGTTGAGCAAAACAGGTCCTTGTTTTTGCATCTTGCGATATTGTGTTCACATCTTTTCACATCTTTCTCGCCTCCACGCCGGACTTCAACACGTAACCGCGCTTCTGGGCTTCTGCGATCTGGGCCTTCAACACTGCACGCGGTGACTGTGCTACTTCTTTTCCTGGCACGGAATGCGCGGACTTAAACAAATGAAATAGAAAGCACATGTGTGTATGCGTTTCTGTTGTTTGTTATTTGTGTCTTCTGACCTTTAGATCATGTGATGTCAACTGCAGAATTGATGTTTGTCTCTGGATGTTGCAGTTTTGGTGATTGATCGGCCCATCTGGAAGCCTTCGATGAAACAATCGCCCATAACCACTGCCAGCTCCGGACTGAAAGGTACCTTCGAAGCTATGGAGTGCAAAACTTTGAACAAAGCTGCAAAACCTGTTCGTTTCCAGAAGGCTACAGGTCTAGAATGGTCTACACTTCAAGTATCTTCAAGTACTTGCAAACGCCAACAGGGACCTGGAGCAAAGTACTGGCGTCGGGCATCACCAGAAGGTCTGCCGCATGCGGCCCGAAATCCAGCCATGTCGCTGCTGGTGCGAATCCTGCTCCTCACGCGACTCCCGGGGCCGTATTGCGGGGCCTCCAACCTAATAGCAACAGGGTCTAGATAGAGTCTAGTAGTTGAGTGAATCTCCTGGGCTGTAGCGAATTGCAAACACAGATTCGAACTGTCAATGAACACAACACCCTTGCAAAAGATCAAAAGGCACAAAAGGGTGTTTCTTGAAGACTCGAACTCAAGACCTTTTCTTGCCGGCAGACCATTCTGAACAATTTCAGCACCCCGGTCCATCACGTTGAATCTGTTTGATGGCACTGCTGGGGACCATCTTTGTCCGCAAGACACCTACGGACTTGAATCGTGAAAAGCAAATGTTGGCTTCGTCAATTAGAGCTGCTCCATACCAAATCCCAGTAGCCTCAAGTTGAAACTTAGACCTATCAAATAGAATCCTGAGCTTCTCTGTTGGCAGCCATTTGTTTCCTCTCATATCTCGACACATGCCTCTGATTCTATGACCTGTCACATCCTGTATCTCAATACTTTGTATCTCTATACGCCGCACGCCGCTCCGCACCCCGCAGGTCGACAAATGCCACCAGGAAGAAGTCAATGCCACGCGCCTTGCGGAAATGACGAAAAGGCGTCAAAATGTGCTTTTTTTGACAACAAGAAGCTACTAACGGAGCAAAGGGCATCGCTACTAGGAAGCCAGGACGCTACTAGGGGCTCCTGGCCGTACTACTAGGAGCAAGAAGCTACTAGGAGCAAAATGCAGAAACATCTGACAACCAGAAACAGCACGTCAATTCAGCCCCAGATTAAAGATTCCACACTGAGACTACCCCACCCGCCTTTGCTACTGCAGACAGATCGGCATTAGCGGCGAGCTTCTCCTTGGATCACATATTCAGAAATACTTCCTCCATGGAGTCAGCTGGTTTGACATATGGACATGAACAAACAGTAAATCGAATGAATTTGGTGGGTGTAACACCCAAGAGCAACATTAAGCAAGCAAGAAAGGCTAAGATCATCCTGCCCTGAAGAAGATGCTTCGGCCAAGTTGCTCCTTGGCAAAAGCCAGCCTTTGTAAAGCATTGCATAACTGCTTTGCACCCCTTGACAACTCCTTGATCCTTCCTTTATCCATGACATGTTCCACAAAAGCTCGGCTCTGCATCCGGAAAACTAGTGCAAAGAGTTCAAGTGATCCAACGGATTCTTTGTTGCACGTGAGAGACGAGGAGTCGAGCAGCCACTTTTTTGGAGCTTAGCGTCAGAGGAGATCATCTTTCACCGCGTAATTGACCAAAAGCACGGGTCGATTTGGCAAGTTCGGTTCTTGTGAAGAGCTAAAGGGCCAAGTGTGTCTGGTCTCCGACTTTCTATTCAATTCTGTGGAACCAACTCTTGCCCATTGGCCCTTTCAAATGCAAATGGGCATGGTGCACTGAACCCCGAATGTGCACAAGCTACACCAGCTTCATTAAGTTTGGCAATTCAATGCTGTAGTGAAAACATCTTGGGAACTGAAAGTCCCATGCACAACACCAAGCTCAGTCCACTCAGCGAAAATGGACGGAAAGGTCTATCCATGGGAAACTGTTCTCCTTTTCCCAAGAATACCTTTCGGTGAAAATGCCAGGTCATCGCCTGGAGATAGGGTGAAAACCCCAGGTATTGAGCGTTGCAGTGTTGCCGGGATTGCCTTGCAATATCGGTTGCCTTGCAATATTGTTGCCTTGCAGAACCTCCGCGGCCTACCCCCCCTGTCTTCCCTCTTACTAGTAGCTTCTTGTTACTAGTAGTAAGGCCAGGAGCCCCTACGGCCAGGAGCCCCTACTAGCGTCCTTGAAAGAAATCCGAGCTATTGCGACAGCTTCGAATTACATCAAGTTGTGGAGCGGGCGAAGCCCAGATTGCACAAAGGGCTTACGTGGCAACGGCAACTGATGTGGGCACAAATGCCCTAGACTGGATTGGGATGGAGAAACAAGCACTTCAGCAAAAACCTTACGAGCGAATGCAAAATCCCTCCTGTTTGATTCATCTTGATCAATGATTCCAAATTCTTTGGACCTTCGCTCTCCATCTTTTCAAATGGTGCAGCTTCAGGCGACACGATCCGTTGGCAATTCAACAAATTGACAACTTTGTTTGTCAAAAAGTGGCAAGTTTTGGCAACTTTGGGATCTGCATCCATTTCACCGTGCCTGAAGCTGATCAAGAGTCGCGGGAAACATCGCATCCATTCCATTGGTGGAAATCATGGATGAGATTAGAACAACTCCTACGTGACATACAGTTCCTCTTTGGCGAAGGCAACCCTCTCAATGTGCCGCAAGTATTCCTTTCAGAATGTAAACACATCCAGCACCAGTGAAGAAGTGTTGCGGTTGTTGCTGTTGTGGTTAAAGGTTAAAAGATCTTCAATTAACGCCGTTGAAACTCAATCTCTTTGGATTGCTTCGCATCACAATTTGCAGCTGCCCGTCGTGGAAACCAAGCTAGCTGACGCGGATTCTTTGTCTCGCTCGATGCCGGGATCGGAACTGTCAGATCCATTCTCCGAACAGTCCACGCAATCCCAGAGCAACGTCGATCATGCTAAAAATGCTGTATGCTTTATTGATGCAAATGCCAAGTCTTAGGGAAATTTCCAAAAATCATCCAAGGCCGATGTCAAGCCCGTTGGAGGCCATCGCTCTTAGGGTGGAGGCCAGCGCTATTAGGTTTCTTAACGTCTTTTTCTTAAAGTCTAAAAGGAAAAATACTCTATATAGATATCTCTAGATTCTATGGCATTCCATGGCCGATGTCAAGCCCACTTTGGGAAGCCCATTCGTGACATTTGCTTGCAGTCACCCGTCGAGTGAACCAAGCTAACTGCGGGGAAGAATTGGGTTTGCAGCTGCCCGTCGCGCAAACCAAGCTCGCTACAAACACGTCGACCGTCCAAAGTCCAAAGTCTTCAATGTACCTTGGAGGCCTCACAGCTGCCCGTCGTTGCAACCAAGCTAGCTGATACTGGGAGAGATTCAAAGATTGGGGCGGATGCTCAAAAGGCAGAGTTGTTGTACTCATTGTTATTTGACATGAAGGTAAATCTTTGCAACAGTGTGTCACACTTTGCCACTCCGCCTTTTGTTCACCCTGTTTCTCCAGCCGCCCGTCGCGGGAACCAAGCTAGCTGGGCTGGAGGGTGTCATCGCTCCTGTGCGAATGAGTTGCGAACTCGTACAACGCACAACATTACTAGCAGCAGGAAGCTAGTCGTAACAAGTGCATCACTATTTATATAAGAACAGGTGCATCGCTACTAGTAGCTAGAAGCTAGTAGAAACAAGAATTAGAATTAAGTTAAATTAACTACTAGCTTCTTGTTACTACTAGTAAGGCACTTGTTACTAGAAGCGATGCACTTGTTACTAGTAGCTTCTTGTTACTAGTGCAATGCATTGCGACTAGCAACGTGCGACCCGGATACCCAGAGCCCGAAATTCGACTGCATTGCTGTAGGCCTCCCACACCACGACGCCTCCAGCTGGGGCCCTCCTTCTCAACGGCGCCAAACTGTAGCCTCCGGGACCTCACGGCCAAAAAACAAAGGTGATGGTGTAAACCCAACCCAATAGCAAACTATATTAAACCTTTCTTCCTGTTCTCTTTTCTTTGCTTCCAAAAAAACGATGGCCTCCAACCTAAGGGCGATGGTCTCCAACCTACTAGCGATGGCCTCCAACCTGCTAGCGATGGCCTCCAACCTACTAGCAATGGTCTCCAACATACGAGTGATGGCCTCCAACAACCTACTACTAGTAGCGATGGCCTCCAACCCAATAGCGATGGCCTCCAACCTTCTAGCGATGGCCTCCAACCTTCTAGCGATGGCCTCCAACCTAGCCGAAAGGGTGGTGATTCTGCACCCTTGTTGCAAATGCGCAAACTGATAGGCCAACATGCAACACCCCCGATAGAGCTGTTCAACAGAACTGGTATGAAGATGTATGACTTGAAAGCATATGATAAGCAGTTTCAACATTATATATCTTCACACGTGAAGGGTCGGTGAGTGCCTCGAAAAAGAAGGAGGACAAAAAGCCAACACACGCTTCACTAAAGGTCCCATTGGTGATGTAGAACAGCTCAAACGGTTCAACCTATTTACAGTAGCTTTGCAGGATGTTGTAGGTGCATACCGGTTGCGAATGGTTCCCACAGAGTCCCTGGCGATGTACTGGTACTTCCGCTGATGCTCTCGGATCACAAGGGGAAGCTTCTGCTCTGATAGTTTGCTGAAGCCCCGCTGCTCCATGAGTCTCTGAAGCTCATCCTGCGCAAAAGTATCTTCGCGAACAAAAAGGCTAAACAAGAGTTTAAAAGTAGTAGTTTCTTGTTACTAGTAGTAAGGCCAGGAGCTACTAGTAGCTTCTTGCTCCTAGTAGCGATGCCCTTTGTTACTCGTAGCTTCTTGTTCTATAGTATATAGTATGTTTGTAACAAGTTCAGTTCGGTTTTTCCGGAACTTTCCGACCTTGGAATGAACCTCCTTGTTGTCTTTCAGGTAGCCCCCCAGCCACTTCGACTTGGGCGTAAAGTCCTGCTCAGCTTGGGGTACCATCTGCCTAGACCTGCCTAGACCTCAATGTGACCGTCCTCCAACCATGAGAAGGGTGTGACGATCTCAGTTGCTTGGGCGCAAGTCACAAGAAGCTAGTAGAAACACGAAGCTTGTAATTAGAACTAACCATCCGACTCCGAGGTGCTTTTGAATCGTATTGTTTCTACTAGCTTCTTGTTGCTACTAGTAAGGCACCTGTTACTAGTAGCGATGCACTTGTTCCTAGTAGCGAATTAGAATGAGAAGGGTGTGCAAGTCTGTTCCCACGGCGTATATCGTTTCGAGCCCCCAACAACCACTGCACCACCAGGTCGGATTAGAGCATCTAGACCATCAAGGCCTCGCAACACACATCGCTTCTAGTAACAAGTGCCTTACTAGTAGTAACAATGTTTGCTATTAGAAACTAGAATTATATAATTTAGAATCTAAATAGAATTAAGTGTAATTAGCGTTATTGCTACTAGTAGCGATGCCGCAGCGATGCCCTTGTTACTAGTAGCTTCTTGTTACTAGTAGTAATGCCAGGAGCTGCCAGTAGCGTCCTTGCTCCTAGTAGCGATGGCCTCCAACCTACTAGCGCTGTCGGATGTCGGTCCAAGTTTCTTTCGAGAAGCATAATCTGCAAACACATCCGAGCACAGCACAGGCAACAGGCTCCGGCAGTCGGCACAAGAGGTTGGCCTCGGGCACGGAACCAAGCAGAGCGAAACAAAGTGAAACACAACCAGAGCGTGGTGTCAGCTAGGTAGGAGGCCATCGCTATTAGGTTGGAGGCCATCGCTAGTCAGCTATCTGAATAGCATTCCCAGGGCTATGCAAACACCTCTACGTGAAAAGGCAAAGTAGGCAAAGCTGCTTTCTGAGGAACAACCAAAACTGCACCATCGAAGGTACCAAGTTCATCTACTTGATCTTTAAGCCTGGCAAAGTGGACGGCGTCATATCGTATCCCAGCAGTGCTGAGCATTCTTCCTCATAGGTCTTGCATAGTGATTCTGCTTTGCTCCAACAGTTGTTACTTTATAGTTTATCAATTGAAACGGCGTGTCCTGCAAGCATCTCCTGTCTGGAAGGTGACCTGAACAGGTGGATCTTGCGGTCCAACCAACCACAATGAAACTTACAAAAATGGAAGGAAGGCAGGCAGCCAAACAGGAAGTAAAAAAGAAAAGAAACTCTTGGCACCAAGCACGTTGCCGGGCAGCAGCTGTCACATTTGCCTCGTGTTCAGCAGTGACTTCCGCCTCAATCGTGCACTTTGGCACGGTCTCAGAGCTTCGGGTTTGAAAGAGAACAAGTTGACACAAAACACGTTGAACTTGTTGACCGGAATATAAATGGAATTCCATTGGACTTCACTACCACTTTCACCAATAGAAAGAAGGCGTGTTGTCTGCTTTCAATTTATAGATCGTTTTTTAGACATTGAATTGAAACGTAACAAAGCAAACATGTTTGCTGCTTTCAACCTAGACCATGTCAGCAGTCGAACCCCTGTCTCTTCCGCAGTCTTCCACTGGACCCACACCAACCGTGATGCACGGTGGCCACGGCCATGACAACTGCTCCAGCCACGCCCATGCACCAAAATCTTGCTCACCTTTCTACTACAACATGCAAAAGTGTTCGCAAAAATACCTCTTATAAACTTATAAAAGTTTTAGCGCAGTGTCCGTCGAAAGAAAAGTGACGAGTTCCGAGCTTTGTGAACCGCAAGGATGATGATGTGAGGGCGTGATGACCGGCCGAGAAGCTACCGTGTGCGAAGTTCCAAGCGCGGGTCACTTGATTTTATGTCGGTGTTCCCGTCTTCCTTTCTCCATCCTCCTCCGCCCTTTGCTTCAGCTAATCGGGTCTGACTTCGATGTGGTGTACGCCCTGCACCTTTGCCCGAGCACATATCGGAGCAAGTGCGGAAACATGAGCCGCAAGACATGACAGAACAAATGTCGAACACACACCAGAGCCGAAGCCGGATCATGTGCCACAACACATTTCAGAACAAAGCACATGCCAGAAGGCATGTCAGAGCACAGATCGGACTTGACGGCAGGACAAACATCAGAACACATTCCAATGCTAGATGATGTGTCAGAACACATACCAGAACATTATGCCAGAACAAATGTCAGAACATTGTGAGTGTGTGAGTGCACATTACATCAGGCAGCGTTGTCAGGACAGTCCGTCAATACGATTCAATACGTGTGCCCCACATCGTCTCTTAGGTTGGGGATCACCTTCATTCCCGTTTTCTGCACTCGCTACTAGGAGCAAAGGGCATCGCTACTAGGAGCAAGGACGCTAGTAGGGACTCCTGTCCTCGCTACTAGGAACAAGAAGCTACTAGGAGCTGTTTCTGAACTCGTCCAAACCGACATAATCTTCGCCTCGCCTCGAGGTCTCCTTCTAAAGGGACCTTGAAGCGGATGACCTGAAGCCAAGAACCCCGAAGTGTCGATGAAAACGCCGAAAGAGCAGAAAAGCACTTGAAAAGCAAGTTGGACGGCAGGGACGAGTTCCAACAATTTCCAGCAATCTTAGGTTGGAGGCCATCTACAATTTGTTGGAGGCCATCGCAATCAGGTTGGAGGCCATCGCTATTCGATTGGCCTGCTTCAAAGCCAAGATCTCAACCTTTGCCAAACGCACTAGCTACTCGCACCACCTCGCCATTCTTCATCTTCTCGGCTGCATCGATGAAGGCTTGGCTGAAGTCGATGCCCACCACCTAGCACGGCACGCAGTGCACGCAGAAGTGCGGCGAGAAGATTTGGCGAGATTGCGGTTTCTACCAAAGTTGTTGCCTCGAAGCCTGCCGCAGCAAGCTCGAATGAAGAACCACCTGACCCCATCTCATGCAATCCAACTCAGCGCTACATGGGTAGTTAGTACAGGATGGTCTCAAGCTACTTAACCCCAAATGACATGTGTATGTCGTCCTTCATGTCTTCCCATTTCATTTTACTTTGATGGCCTGTCACATCCCGTGTCTGGCCTACAGCACAGCCAATGTCAAGAGCTCGTCCGCCTCGAAACAAGCTCATGGTGTCCAGGTCACAAGTAGCTCTGGTGTGCAAGAAGCTGTGAAGCGGTCTGCGTCTCTGGCTGGCAGGCATAGCCTGGCATATTCAAAATGTATGTGGCGCATGGCAAATTAGAGGATCTGAAGGAAAAAACCAATGCCGCCTCTATCAGCAATTTCGCCACTCTCTGTGGGAAGCGCAAGGCATGCGACGGAGCCTTTACTCTTCCAGTTTTGTTCTTTTTCGTTTGATGTATGGCAATCTGGGACCCCAACGTTTGGATGGCTAAGGATGGGATCAACCTCAAGACGGCTGTTGAAGGAAAAATAGAAGACAAAAGGCGGAAAAATTGAAAAGGAAGGAAAAGAAAGGAAGAAAGCTTCTAGGTTGGAGGCCATCACTATTAGGTTGGAGGCCATCGCTAGTAGGTTGGAGGCCATCGCTATTAGAAACAAAGAAAAAAGAAAACAAACAGGTGCTTTCGCGAAGCGCCTCATCAGCCCCGGAGCTTGGGAAGTGAAGTCCCAAGTATTGATCCACTAAACCTGTCAGCAGCTCCACTACGTTTTTTGGCGTCTCTGAACAATGTTTTCCGGTTTTGAGCAAGAATAGAAATTGTTTGCACCTATTGAACTCCCCCTTCGAACGAACCGAACTATATGTGATCTGCATTGGGTTCTCCCGCGACATGTGCAACTTCCTGGGCTCCAGGCGCTGCGTCTCGTAACCTGCATGACCAGCTACAGCTGCACCAGTGCCAGCAGCACTGCCACTTGGAGCTTGGCCCTGGTGGCGAAGCCCACTTCCGGCACGCAGAAACAATCAGAAACACTGTGTTTTTCTTTGTGTTTCAGTGAGACACCGAGACACCCTTCCAGGTGTGCTAGAATCTAGAATGAGACGTCGACCAGAGCGGTGGTATAGAATAGTAAAATAGTACTTAGGTTTCAATTGAACCCATGTTGAATGCTATGTTTGCTTCTCGAAATAGAAAGGAAAACACAAAAGAACCTTTTCCGGAAGAAGCTCCACGCCCAGGCTGCCTGCACTGCCTGCGCTGCCTGCACTGCCTCCTCCGGCTCATGCAAAAGCCGGGCGGGAGGTGGAGAGTTGGAAGAGACCTCGGATCTGAAATGTGTTGAGTTCTACCTGAGTCGACTCTGTCAGATTCGATGTTCGGTTCTACCGTTTGGATTATTGTTTGAAAGGGGTTGAGGAACCCGATACACCTGGGCCGACTGCTAATCTGAAACCTGAATGCTGCAGGAAGTGTGGCCGGAAGTGATACCGGCAAAAGCCGGAGGCACCGTTGTCAGACTTGCCTTGCATGCGCACAGTGGCACAGGAAGGAAATCTAAGTTGTAAAAGCTTCAACATAGGAACATGTTGCACAACGACTTGAAATCAAACGAAGGAGCTGATAAAGCTGCCGCCCATGATCATGTGATGCCGCCCATCGAAGCATGGGGTAGAGAAGTCATCGTAGGTCTCAAAGCAGTGAGAGGTGAATGGACTGACGTCAAAATGGGAGCACTTGTTGAATTGAATGCACTGAGCACCCCACATAATGAACTTCAAAGCCCTCAAGAGGGTTGAAATGATCTTCTGTCCACTCCCATGCATTGCCTGAGACATCTGTTTTGCGAAATTGAAATACCTTTGAAAAAAAAAAAAAACATACCAAACCAATAAATACAAACCAAGATGAGATGCCCATAGCATCATGGTGTCCAGTGGGAGATGCTGGCATCGCATCCACCGGGCTTTGAGATGCCTTATGTTCCGGCATCCAAAGGCAACCCGGTGCAACACGTGCGAAACAACCTTTCTGAAGAAATCCATTCTTGAAAAAGTCTTGTTTGAAAGGAAACTCGTGTTGGCCGTAGCAGTTCAATCATTTCATGTTTTTGCGCAAGCAAGCGGCAAAGGCCAAGTTGGCGTTGGTGCCAGCCACCTTCGGGAAGTCCATCCCGCCTGACATGGCCCGCTTGCAACCAGCCCTCCGCCGCAGACAGTCCTGCCTAGGCTAAGTGTGGGATCGTCTCTGGCCATCGCCATGTTCTCAGGGCGTGCCTGCGTCAGGACCATGCTGCAATTCACTTAGACTTTGGTTCTTGAAACACAAAAAAGAACATAGTCTGAGGGTCAAAAGCACAAGAGGAAACAGGGAAAAGAGAAAAGGAAGACTGTAGGGTTGAAAGGAAGAAAGAGAAAAAGAAAAACAATAAAGAGATAAGGGGGAAAGCTAAAAGAATGTGTATATGTCAATGTATATTATTCTAGGTTGGAGGCCATTGCTTAACTCATGAAGCTAAAGAAGCTTAACTTAACTATATAATGTTCCTATTCACTGTCGGCCTCGGGATGGCGGATGAGGTGATGCTCCGCCTCCGTGATGACACGATAGGCCTGCCAAGGAAGGGCTGGAAGGGCTTCAATGCCGTGTTTGTTTGAATTCGTTGGACTGCTCTCCAAAAAGAGAGAAAGAAACAGCAAAGACATATAGCTCCTAATAGCTTCTTGTTCGTAAGAAACCATGCAGAAATGATGGGATCAACAGAAGTGATCTTCCTTGCGCCCTTCCTTCTTTCCTTCCTTACTTACTTATATACCTACTTGCCGACCTCCCTACTTACCACTTCTTGACCTTCTTGTATTCTTCTCGAAATTACTTTCTGGTCTTGTCTTATCTTTTCTTTTTTGATGGCTCTTATTTGTGGTGACCACCTGACACTTTGGGGACTTAGGTCCAACACTCATATTCCAGGTCAAGCGGGACTTAGACTTTGGTTTGCTTGCATCCTGTCATCCTGTCTGCTTCACTACACCGCTTGAGCGAAATGCCATGCAGAAATGATTTGAAGAACGAATTCTCGCAGCTATTTTGCCTCTAGTGTTTTCCTTGGCTGCTGGTGATGACTTGTCTGTGGTTGACTTGTTTGATGTGCTTTGTGGTTAGGCCATGTCATCAAGTTGACAAATCTTGGCCTGGAAAAGAATTATCCTAAGATTTAGAGCTCTTGATAGGTGCAATACAGGTTCAACATGGTTCAACAGTGTATGAAGTTCTAGGACTCACAAGGTTACATTAATATCATCATCTTGGTGTCCAAAAGAATGGGATCGAAATGGATCGAATCTACAAAGATCGTGGGCAACATCGCCGGCGGCACCTCCTGATCCTTCAGGCCGTCCTGTTCAGACTTCCATGCGCAGTACGCCCGTGCCTCCAAGCGCAAACGCAGCGCAGCCCCGAGCCCCTAGTAGCTTCTTGTTCCTAGTAGCGATGCCAGGAGCCCTAGTAGCGTCCTTGTTACTACTAGTAAGGCACTTGTTAGTAGTA